CTTCCGATCTCCCCAAAACCCCAAAACCCCATAAGTCAAAAATAACACTATTAAATGATAATTCGTAATTTAATATAAAAATAAATGATGAGTAAAAATAATATCAAGTAATAATTCTTCATAGGTCTGATTTTCTGTTAAAATTCTCATGCTGTTCTTTGATAAATTCACAGAATCTACGGACCATATTAACTTCGGGATATTTATCAGTTCTTTCTTAAAGTTCGAGATGTGGCTCAAATCCTTCAATTTCCATTATTAAAATTTAAATCTTCCCATTTTTATCTACTTTAATGGTAAAATCAATTCTTAAAATAGCGGGTAACCCGACATTCTGACAAGAAATGAAGGCTTTAACTTGATCAATGACTGCTGGAAAGAGCTCTTAAATCTGTTTAACATGCTCCTCATTAAGTTTGAAATCAGGTCTATGAGAGCTTCTTATGCTTTCCAAAACAGTACCAATATCATCAAAATTAAATTGGAAAAAGCGGCCTCCATACTATTTCTAAACCCTAGAATCAGTTCTGCCGGGAACTTTAATGTATTGATAGGCTTTTTCTAAATTAAAGCAGACAAAGCCAAATTCACCGAAATCTAAAAGACTGTTTAAATATTCCTGGATGATCAGTCCGCTATAATTCTCATGAATTTGCTTACATGTTGCAATTATCTCATCTTTAGACTATAGTTCGATGTTAAATTTCATGAAACTACTACCACCAGCGTCCTAAAGTCCTTTAGCTACAACTATTTAGTCTCCTCTGGCTTTAAAATCATCCAAAGCTTGACTTATTTTCCCATCAAAGTCTTTAACAATGAAGACTGATTCTGGCATTGTGAGGCCAAAATCCTCCATTTATTTCAAGTATTACTTATTCAAATTCCATAGCACAAATTGAACTGGGTTTACAGTTCTCGCTTTTTATTCTTTAAGTTATTGCATTAAGTTTTCTACTTCTACTTTATGGAAAGAATAATCCCACATTGGACCAAATAATATTGTTTTTTGCAAGTTTTATTCAACTTTAAACTCTCTCCAATCACAAACTGAGACTCTTAAGCTGAGTTAATCATTAAACATTGGTAGTAAAGATCTTAGATATTTATACTGATCTGGTTTACCATATATCATATCTAAATTCTTAATTGTTCCATCTTGAATCATTTTGGCAGCTGCTAAGATTACAATTTCTGGATCTTAGATTTTTCTATAATCAATTTCTTCTAAGCTGCTTCCCTCCATTATTAAATTTAATATATCGTATCTTTTGAATTTTAAGAACAAAGGGGTTTTGGGGTTTTGGGG